TGAGATCTGACCAGCCGAACTGCAGATAACAATCAGCTGAAGTGGCCTGCAGTACTGCACCCTAACCACTGCGCCACCTCGGCTCATTACATACTAATATGTATATAATATTAATTCAACAGCCCCTTTTAGATTTAAGGCACTGCAGTAAAAAAAAAAAGACACCCCCCTCCACCATGTAGACCAGGGGTATCAAACTGGCAGCCTGCAGACCAGAGGTGTTATGCGCAGTCACGCCCATCCCAGTTCCGTGAATGGGAAAAACGTTGTGAAACGCCACATGACTACAACGTGACGCAGTGAGTTTGACACCCGTGATGTACTCTATAAAAAGGAAAAAAAGGAAGCAAGATTCCAAGTTCTGATTACATAACAACTAAAGAATTTAAACTGCTCTGTCCTGTTTTTAAGATTCTTCCCTTGTACTTATTAAGTATATAACCTTGTGAAGAAATGCAAGTATGTATTAGGAAATCTGTAGGAAGCCAACATTTTTCTCCATTTTTGTTCCTTTTAGAATAGTCCACCCAGAAGTCATGATTACTTAAAAGAGTCCACTAACAGAGTTCATAATGTCAATTTATTACGATAATTTCATCAAAGGAATTATCCGGGAGTACACACACAGTAATTTAACTATAGCCATATCCCTGAAAAATACTTTGGTTCTTTAAAAAAACCTGAGCTATCTGTTGAATAGAAAGATGGACAGAAATGCAAGAATTGACCCTAAGATTGGGGATCAAATTCTCAGTTCAGTCTAGATATTAACGGAATTACCTCAGAATAATTAATACAGTTATAAAGCCTCCTGGATCTAGGCTCACGGTTGCACCACTTTAGGATTAAAGTTAATCTTTGTAAAATTGGAATGCACAGGGTGGCTTACCTCCTGGACATCAAATCTCAAAATCTCCTTCATGTATGTGGGCAGCAGGGTAAGGAGAGTGTAAAATGTCCAATTATAAGAAAAGTGTGCGACGACAATGGCCCACACTGGAACGGATTTCAACATGGCTTTCCAAGGCACAGATTTTTGGGTGGAGAGCTAAATGAAAAGAATACATTCAAAATATTTAGATCTCAGGGAATTTCATTTTTAAAGAATCTGTTATTCAGCATTATGAAGGATTAATTCTGACATAATTTTTTGCACATAGATACAATATAAAAAAAAACTAGGCTATATGATCAGGTACTATATCGACCGTTGACTTACCTGAACGGTCCTTCTATGTGCGCTGCGAGGGGAATCCAACATGGGTTAACTTTGTCCATTAGCCTAGAGACTGAGTTATG